AACATGAAGAATTTTACCAGGATATCTTACAGTGGCCTACGAAAGCAAAAGAGGAAGACAGTGTAGAAACAGAAAATGTTTAAAAAATGTTATGAGATTATTATTAAATTAGTTTTATTTTTATTTTTGCATTAGGAATAAGTTATGTTTATTTTTTACTAGAACGGTTTATTACATATTTTATAAATTTTATTAGCAATCAATGCAGAAACTATATATGTCCACAACCTGTGTGATTTTTTTTCTCTAAGAATTCAAAACTTTAAATACTCCAAATTATGTCTTCGTATCTACAAAATAGTTTACTTTCATATCCCAAACATTTTTAGATATCCATTAAAGCAACGCTAAGTTATTCAGTTTTTCTTAGTTATCTCAAAACTAGGTAGGTAGGACATATTCAGTTTCTGCATTGACGTATTCAATTGTAGTAAATTTATAAAATTAAAAACTTACGTGCCCTTTTAGTTCCACCCTTACTTCTTAAGAAGTCCCATAAGCCAACTGAATGACACTTTATAGTTATTGGACAATTAACATTAATACTGTAAAAACAAAAGTTCTATAAATAGTTACCTTAAAGTCAAATCATTAGATGACGCTGTATACAATTATAAATATCTCAGTTGGTAATAATATAGAACTACTTTATTTTGGGTCCAATTTAGGACAAAAAAGTTCGCACGTTACTTTGATGGTAAGATTTTTGTAATATTTCTAAAAAGTGAACAGATCAGTGTGTGATATAAATTTGTTCGTCATGGTTTAAACATTGTCACTTTAAAGCGTTTTAATTTTAATTGTGAAAACAAAGAGTAAAATGGCCAGTGTCCAATTACTGGTTGGTAAAAAATGTAAATTTCTATTATTGGACATATTTCCAATATCATACTCTATTTGGATCCCGGACATTTACCAGCCAATTCTTATCTAAAATTGTCCCCTGAATTCGAAAAGACCGTCAAAAAATATAAAAGTTAAGCAGTTTTTGAGATATAGTAAATTCCATATTATATGTAAAATTGATTATATTTCAAAAACTGTTCTACTTTTATAACTTTTGCAATTTTTTGATTCAGCGAGCAAATGTCCTGGATACAAATTGCTGTTGACGAGAATTATTAGTGGCTGCTTTTTCGCTATGACATTTTTGGCTAATTAATTTTTAGAGAGTAAGTAATATAGTGATTTCTTCGTCACAGGACATCTTGCAGAATAACAGTGATTTAAATACAGTGTATAATAGAGAACATAAAAAACTAACTAACAAAATTAATAAATTCGGAAAATACTTTTAACATACCACCCGAAAAAATATTAGATATATATAAATCATTCTGTTCCGGCCTAAACAGTATAAATGCTTTACAAACTAGAGATTCCACAAATAATGATATTTGCAACAAACTATTTCAGAAGTCAGACCAAGGAATTAGTAGTTACCTTCATAATCCAGAAAAGGGATGAGGAGTCCGAGAAATAAATATATGAATTATATGATATTTACAAAAACGAAATAAAAAAAATTACCTAAACAGCAATTTATCTTTTATAAATATTTAACATTTTGTTATTTTATGTAAAGTTGTTGTTTATATAAACCAATAACTATGGTCCATGTGTCCAATTACTACATAAAATGTCCAATTTCCATACTATTTTGCATGTTTTTAACAAACTATTATTAAAAATTAAAATATTCTTATTTTTAAGTAAACGTAATTAAATTTTAAATAAACAAACTATCCTTTTTATATATTTATAAGAAAAAAAACTAGAATCTTTAAAATAACGGCATATATAAATTTTAAATAAATAATATTCCTTAAGTGTTCAATAACTATGTGGTTTACCCTAATTTGTGTAAGTAAATGAGTATTTTAGAGACTTTTTTAATATAATATTTTGTGGTGAAATTACACAACATTGTTTAATAATAATTTCTCCACTTTGTTTAAAATTTTTAATAATTTATGGGATGCAAAGGTGGTAAAAAGGAATATGAAACTAAATTATTAATTAAGATATGTATTCACCTACTAATACAAAAATTATGGAAAATCGAATACCTAAACGTAATATAAACTGACACTGACAGCATATAATAAACAAAACAAACTACAAACTGATATATAGCTAATTGTAATAATATTGACATATAATTCAACATGAAGATTAAGTAAAAATGTCGATAGATTAAATATGTATTCAGCGACCAACTAAAAAGATAGAATTAACTATAAATTACAAACTAAAGTAAATAGTAAGCTGATTAATAATGTAGCACAATAGGAAAATAGAAACACTTTTTATCCTCATTTGATAACCAGGTCATAATATTTTATATATCCCAGTTCCTGAACAATTTTGCAAATACGTACCTACCTGTTCGGAAAAATAATATTCAATAATTACTCACCAGAAATGTGGTACTAACCTAATGATACACTTCCTAACACAAACTTAAACTGCAAACTGATGATGCAGATTGCAGTTGAGCGACAGGCGGGCGTCTTATTTCAAGCGGGAAATCATTTCATTGGTTATCCAAGATGGTATTATGGTGAAGGTTACTTCTTTATATAGTTATACTACCTATATTTATACGAATTATTTAAGAAAATGTACAAAAGAGCGGAAAGAAATATGATAAAGTAAATCAAATCTATTTATTAATTTAAGAAAAGACAAAATTTATCCAAAATGAATTAGTTTAATCTAAAATAGAATAAATCAAGAAAAAAACTGACAAATTTAAGTTTTTTATGATAAATGTGTACATTTCGCAAATGATTAATATCATCAAATTAAAATTAACATCCTTAGATAGATATTATCGTTTAAGTACTAAATCGAATACATTTTTTTCTAGGAACAGCAAAGTTAAGACATCAAACATTAAGATTGGCTTTATGTAACGTTAAGCTTAATTTTCAAAGAAAAGATAGATAAGATCAACTCTTGGATTTTATTATTATATTCCTATTTGGATTAATTTCATCAAATAATATTTAAATAAGAACTAAATTGATTTAACTTTATTTTTACTGGTATTAGTAAGTAGTATCAAAATGAGTATAGAATTAGTTTTATATTTGATTAATGTTAGTACACATTTTATAGGTCTTTTTTTAAAATTCAGTAAATGTTTCTAATAATTTCATCTAGACTGGATTATTTTAATTTAAACATATTCCAAATATATTTGGAATAAAAACAATAAAATAATTGCTTAATATATATACATGTTTAAATCATCATTAATCAAATATAAAACTAATTCTATCAATTTTTTAATACGATTATCCAATATTTGACTGAATTATTAAAAGTCAGCTAAAATCAAGCTAATATTTTGACCAAATCTGTAATATAAGCAGCAAATTTAGCAAACATGCCAATTTTTAATTTTTAACGCGTTTTAGTTTGCAGTTTCTCTTCGAGACAGGTGGTGTAGTGAGTTGTGAAAGAACGATCGTGTCCATTCAACATAGCAGTTTCCAAAACCGTTTATTTTGTCTTCGCTCTCATAGTTTTTGCGATATATGTAGGTATAATAAATTTTATTAATTTCCACGTTTTTGGTTATTAAGAGTAATATAGGTATGTTCTACCAAGCATTTTCACTGTCAAGTACACTGAAAGAAATATATGTTTGTTTTAGCAATGTATGTGGTAGTCCATATATGAAACATAAAATATATTTACCTTAACCATTTTTATATTTAGTTTTAACATATTATGTTAAAACTAAATATAATATATGTTTGTTTTAGCAATGTATGTGGTAGTCCATATATGAACCACATACATTGCTAAAACAAACATATATTTCTTTCAGTGTAGACGTCAGGGATATGGATAATATTAAAATCGTGATCACAATCCTCACAAGAAGGTCTGTTCGATTTCGTTGGCATTCGAACGAAAACTGTTGGGATATCTTCAGCCACCATCTTTGATTAATTTGACGCCGTTAAATTAAATTTAAACAGTTGTTTTTTAAGGTTTTAAACGCAAATATCTTAAAACTTTAAAAATTATACATTATATTAGTCAATTAAACATAAAAAACAATTGTTAAACTAAACCATTATTGAGTTATTGTTTTGTATTTTGAACCTATAGATTATTATTTTATTGAGTAATTTTTTATGAAAGTTTGTAAGCTAAAATAAATGAATATTTATTAAACACAAAATTTAGTATATATACTTTACCTACCCCACTATTACTGCTTCTTACGAAGATCAATATTCCAGTCAATAATGAAATATTGAATTGATTAAAATAATACAATTTTTGATAAATTCAATATATTTTTTACTAACTATTTAGATAAATTTTGCACAAATTTTTTATAACTACTATTAAAAAAAAGATTAAATTGACCTAAAAAGTGCTTAATTGAATCCAAGAATTGGTAAATTTAAGAAAATATTATGTGGATTCTAGAAAATCGTAGGCGAATTTAATTTAATTTTCACTATAATAATTCTAAATTTTGTAGTGATTTATAAAACTTATTTGCTGCTATTTATCACGGTTTGATACATTTAAGTCTAGCAAATAATTCAATCGAATGAATTATTGATATTAGTCCAATTTTGGATTGGCGCTATATTGATCAAAAATTTGATTGTAATACTACCTTACTGGATTAATTGTATTCAAAATTTCTTTCCGTGAGTAACTTTTTTTTTTTTAATATTTTTAACAACAGATTCTTGACAATATAGTGCAAATGGTTAAATATAAAATCTTATTGTTTTCAACAAATTATAGAAAATTGACTTATAGAAGCTAATTAGAAAAACCAATCCAACTATCTTGGATAATGTAGTACATTTATAGAAAATTATGATCCTATGGCATGTTGTACACCTTTGTACAATGATTTTCAAACGGAATTCTCAGTAATGCTTTCTTAATTTTTAAGATGGCGAAATAATATTAATCCTTGTGCCTGTAGAACCTATCTAACCTAAAACTGTTTTTAGGTACGTCATCACGACCCTTTGCGGTGACAATTGCCCGACCCCAGACTGGGTCATAGGCATGCTTTTCTGGGTGGGCTACTTCAACAGCGCGCTCAACCCGCTGATCTACGCCTACTTCAACAGGGACTTCCGGGAGGCTTTCAAGGACACCCTGATGTGCGCACTGCCGTGCTGCTTCGGCTGCTGGAAGACGCCTGCTAGATACCTCTAGCCGAAAGACTTTTCCCCCTCCTATCGCGACGAACGACTGTGATTTTAAGCTAGTTAGAGTAGAGGGGTTTACATTAGAGGGTAGGTAAAGCGATAGGAGGTGGTGGACTGCTGTACATTTATATGAAAAGTGTAGATTTTTCGAAAAATTAACAAAAAAAATTGATAGTATTTATATTTTTAGTATAGTGCATAGAAACAAGTCATTCTTGTCCACCCACGAAAAAATTTTCCATCAGGATTTAGAGAGATGTCAACCCAAAAAAGGAAAAACATTTCTTTAAAATTGAGGTTGCATTACATCTTAAAGAAGTTTTTTTTCAAAAAATGTTCATCATAATAATGAATATAATATATCTCAGTTAGTATGCATTTTACAAAAAAATGTTTAAAATAAAAATTAAATGATTCGAGGGGGGAAATCAATCAGTACTAAAATTGGTGATCATACTCTCCTCCTTATAGGGGGAACAGGGGGTAACTAAAATTTCCAATGGAACACCCTACTTTTTAACCTTTCAGTGGTCGCGCACGGTGTCTGACACCGGGGCGATTTAAAATTAAACTAAACTTTGAAGATGGTGGAGATAAAAACTTCACCGCCCAGGTACCTTCCTAAATAGTGTAAATGCATGCTCAGTTGCAATTTGGATGCGATTGAACATATTTATTGGGAATTATAGTAACTTCCGGTGTGTGAGACCGGGGTGACCATTCGTGTGACAAATAACTCGTGCTGCTTTGACCTAAATTCCACAAAATTTGAAATTTTCACTTCATGAATTTTGTGGAATTGTACTTCAAAAATCTCAAGAAAATATTACCCCTGGTAGATGTGCCTATTGCAATTGGAAAAAATATACAAAAACTGGATTTGTGTGTTTTAAACGTAATACCTACATGTTTTTTTTATAGGTCTTGCGATTTTTTTTTATAAATATTTACTATCAGTGAAGTTTTATGGGTAAAAAGGTACATATAGGTACAAAAAAATATATATTTTAGAAAATATAGGCAAAAAACAAAAATAAATTAGAGCACATAATAGGCATTTGCCAATCTTGCAAGCAAAGTCCTTTCGAAGCTTAATTTTTCAATTTTTATTTTACTACTGTATTAAATAAGGACCAAAAAATAATATTTTTTTTTATTTTAACTTTTCTAAGTTGCAATTTTATTTGTATGTTAAAAGTTTAAAGACCTTTTTTATATGAATTTTATTTTTGTTTTTTGCCTATATTTTCTAAAATATATATTTTTTCTTATCACTTTTTTGTACCTATATGTACCTTTTTACCAATAAAACTTCACTGATAGTAAATATTTATAAAAAAAAATCGCAAAACCTATAAAAAAACAACCCGGTGTTACAGACCGGGGCGACTATACTTGAAAAAAAAAAAATAGCGCGACTACTGAAAGGTTAATGCAGATTCGGATCATTCGACTAAAAATAGATTTTGTCTAATATATTTTTTCATATTTGTAATAGATGGCGCTGTAATAAAAAAAATCAATTTTGTTCGATTTTTCTTCTGTATACGATTCTTCAATAATTTTTGAATAAAATACTTTTATTTTTTAAATTTATTTATTTTAGTAATTTTAATTAAAGTATGTTCTCAATGCATTTATTATTTCGCTTTAATATTCTGCTCTGGGATATTCCCAAATATCTGGATAATTCTCCTGTGTTTGCATGAGGATTAGCGGCCGTTGCTGCTTATACATTAATTTCATTATTTCCACCTGTGACTGTTGCTTGTCGAACTCTTTTTTTCGGTTGAACACTCCCGTTTGTAGTTACTGCTTGACTGTACGGTGCGTCATCGAATTTTTTCCGAAAAACGCTGAGCGTAGATATTAACAGCATCATCAAAATTCCTGCCTGCTTCTCCATAAATCAAAATCATTTCAATTTTTTTTCTACTGTTAAAAAATCCATTATGAATAACTGCTTAACGAAAGGAGGTATTTTTTTGCATATTAATCTTCGAACTAAATTGATTAAATAATGCTAAACAATAAATAGTTTCTTTATACCTCAATAATAATTATTATTTATAACTAAATACCATTTTTTATACCTCAATTAGGATTAAATTAATTAATTGACAAAATAATGTTTTTTTTAACCTTAAATGAGGTATTTTTATTAAAAATGGTACAATAATCCTTTAAATTAAAGGATTTAATGATGGCAGGTAAAAAGTGACCATGGTGCGCAATTGATTAATTATCACCGAATGAAACAATGTATAAAACTTAAAGCAAATGAAACTTAATTATTAGTTAAAAAATCAGATTTAATTTAATAAGATAATAATTATTATTACCAATAAGATAATAATTATTATTACCAAAAAAGTGATATTTTTATAGAAAAATTATTGCAAAATCGTATACAGAAGAAAAATAGAACAAAATTGATTTTTGTTCATTACAGCGCCATCTATTACAAATATGAAAAAATGTTTTTGACAAAATCTACCTTTTTTTAGTCCAATGATCCGAATCTGCAATAAAAAATAGGGTGTTCCTTTGGAAATTTTAAAGTTACCCCCTGTTCCCCCTATAAGGAGGAGAGTATGAGGACCAATTTTAGAACTGATTGATTTCCCCCCTCGAATCATTTAATTTTTATTTTAAACATTTTTTCGTAAAATGCGATATTTCAAAGTTTCAAGTTAAATGTCTCACCCTGTATATTAACAACTCTCGAATGGGAGAAAAAAATAGATTTGTAGAAAAAAAAATTTCTGATAAAAAACACTTTTTTTATTTTAATTTTGGGTTGGCAAACCTTGGGAAAGGCATAGTCTAACTTCAACAAAACTTTAAATAAAAAAAATAAAATCAATTTTTGGAAAGTCTACAATTTTCATGCCTAAAATATTATTTGTTGTTAGACATCTCAAATTAAGGTGCTTATAGTTAAAAATAGAGCACAATTTTAAATAATTATTATAAAGAGTCAAAACCTGTTTAAACGCAAATTCACAAAAGATAAAAATCTTGTGTAATAATAATTATTTGTTTGCTATATAATTGATACAGTACCTGGTATTTTAAATACATAATGACGTTTTAGTTTCATGTAATACCTCACTTAACCTTAAATTCTACCTTGACATTTTGTGAAAACACTAAATTATTAAAAATAAATCAATAGGCATTTACTGGAATGATATGGCTAAACTAATTCTATTTGTAGCAAAAATTGTCCTCTATTCCACTTTGATTAGTCAAATTGTTAGGTTTTTCAATAAAATAAAGCTTAGAAAATTTAAAACGGATAAAAAATGGCAACGATATAAGAGAGGATTATTATTATTTAAAATAAAATCTTATCTTGCTAAGTAGTAATAAAATGGGGTGTTTATTGAAATTTGCCACCGTGCTTTTTTTAGAAAATAATCTCTTAAAAACAATTAATCTGCTTTGATTGGTTTATAGAGATAATATCCTATAGAAAGTTTAGTCGCAAATTTCAATAAAAAATCCCCTTGTACTAATTTAAAAAAATAAACGTATACCAAAGCAATAACTCAAGACTCATTTTTAAATGCTATCTCACTCATATACGTAAAAACTAAAGGCAGTATTTGGAAAAATTACATTTATAGACGCACAAGATACTCCTATAGATATCTTAAAACTGTGTGTATACCCTAATAATAAAGTAAATCACTAATAATTATAAAATTATAATTTTTCTAAATACATAGCTGAATCACTATTTTCTGTGATAAGTCAACATATACAGGGTGTTTTATAACTAAGACAGCATAATGTTCAGAGTTTATATTTCTATTTATGTTAAGAAAAACTATGCAAAGTTGTAAAAAATGAATTCGTATTTTAGAATACTAGTATTAAAATTTAATTTATTTTTTTAAAACACCTACTGATATAAACTCTGGGTTACTAAACACCCTGTGTAAATATTATTTTATGCAGACGATCTGTGTAATTGTACATATTTTTGAATGTGATACTGTGTGATTATAATTTTTGTAAATATTATCGCAATACATATTTGTTGTATAATACAAAATTAATTGTAAAATACTGTACATGTGTTTTTATGTTTAGATATAAGTTTTGTAATGTCTTCCTTTCGATTTTATATTATATTTTTAGTAAATAGCTCAATTTAATTTGTAGAAATTTTTTACATTCCATTTTGAATTTTTTCGTTTAACCTTTAAATGTTATGTAGCGATATTAAACATAGATAAATAACTGTTAACTACATATAAATAGTTCCATACATAGATTTGTTTCTGTGAATAAAAATTTAATTTTTATTTACCTACGGTTGTTTTGTTGGCTATTTGGTTAATGGATATAAATGACAATCTCATAAATAGGCCTATTTTGTAAAAAAAAATGTCAAATGTACATTATCTATTATTATACGTGTTATTGTCATGTAATAAGAACTATATATGAATATATTGTTTGTTAAACTGCTTTTAATTTTTTTAACCCATCAAATAGTTTTTCATTCGGTCAACAATTTTTTTTTAGATAAAATGTTTATTATCAAAAAGTCAAAATAAAGTGACGGTTGTTTGACAATTTTCAACTCAAACCTATTCTTCTTAAATAATACTAAAATGTAATAGTATATTATGTATCAAGTTTGATAAACCATTTTATACACGAATTTAATTTAGGCACGAGCGAGCTTGCGAGCGAGTGCTTAAATTAATGAGTGTATAGAAAAGTTTGTAAACGAGGTGCATACTTTACTTTTTCTACGACAAATACTTATTATTATCTTAAAATGATTTAAATCAAAAATTTGTATAGAGCGCCATCTATGAACCAATAGGGGAATCTGTGTGTCACCGTCAAATGTCAAATTTTTATATACTTTATAAACACAATTATAAAGGTTATAAATCGAAATGTATTTCTTGAAAATTGTCAGTTTTTCACAGTGAAAGTAAAGAAAATGTTTTATGAGCACTTTACAGTGGAGTCCGTGCCCGAATTTAAGTTATAGTTTACTGCCGGCGAAATTAAAATGTCAGTAATAAACTTTTCAAATATTGGCGTTGAGAAACTATTGAATACTTTTGTATTTTTGTATTGAGATAATAAAATAATTTTCACATTTAGTATTATTTTACAAGAAAGGCACTTTATTTTAAAAATTGTATGACATTTGACAACTGTCAACTAACTTAAAACTAACTTCAGCCCGTGACTAAAAACCTGTTGCCAACTTTGGCCCGTGACTAAAGCGCCATGAAGCCACAACTTGTCAATGTGTATTTAAAAGGTCACTTAGTGTCATGGAAACATGTACGATAAAGGGCGTTTTAAAGGTGGGAGTAGAAAAAATGTTTTATTATATCAATACAAAAATAACTAAATAGCTTCTTGAAAATTATCTTACCAATTTA